TTCACAGTCAACTGTGTTTGCTGCTTAAATTTAATCAATGAAAATTAACGATAAAAAAAATTCGCTTGTTATTAAAATTAAACGATTTCAGTAATTAAAAACTCTGAACAACTTTTTGAATAATTTGAGTCCTTTGATTGGTGTTTAGTAAATATGATGAAAGATATGTCAGAAATATTTGTAATGTTGCTATTTTATGAAAATATGGCAACGAATATTTCAATAGGCCTCTTTACTTCTTTTAATTAGCAGGTTAAGCTCGTGCTAAAATGCTAATGTTACATTGCTCAATAAAACAATTGTTAACGTGTATCTTGTGATTAGCATAACTCACTAAAACTTTAGAAACCACACGAAAAAATATTCCTGCGTCTACACTATTTATATTTTAGAGGTGATTTTTATATACCTCTCAGTTTTTCACTGACACAAATTTTTGTTCACAAACAAAATTCGAAAATAATACTCATTTACATTCAAATATAAAAATCTTGCCAAAGTTTATTCAGTGCAGATGCCAAGTAAATTTATAACATCTGATGCGACAGTACGAAATAAACAATTTATATGTTCTGTGGCAATACTCAGATCAATTAGTACAAGTTTAGCATGTTAAATACAAACCGTAAATAGCATTTATATATATATACACAATATATCATTACGTTATTCAGTACGCATTAAATATATATGCCCACTGGCAATACTCAGATCAATTAGTACAAGTTTAGCATGTTAAATACAAACCGTAAAGAGCACTAATATATATACACAATATATCATTACGTTATTCAGTACGCATTAAACATATATACCCACTGTTATGCAGAATGAAATTTCAGCTTTACACTATTGTGACTTTACACTTTTGTCTGTTGCAAATATTTATACATTATTTTCAGAAAGGAAGAGTATTTAAGGATTATATGTAAACAGTTATATTAATTATGTTGGAACTGAATTAATTCAAGACTCTAGTGATTAAATTAATAAAAATATATCATATATAATTTAATTCATATCATAATTTTTGAAAGTGATGTTCCTTGTTTCTAATTGAGGCATCACATACATACATTATTAATATTATTAAACTGCAAATTATTGTTGATATTAAAAATGAAACCGTCCAAAAATCGTGCTGGGCGCTTGTCAAGTTTAGCAGAGGATATGGATGTGCCATTTCGTTCCCGATTGCATATGCTATTTGCACAAATTGAGAAAGAGTTCGAGCTGCTGTACATTGAAAATTTAAACTGTATGTTACGCATATAAATAAATTGTTATTTATTATACTATATTTTATTATAGTGCAGGACAAATTAGAAAACTGTACCAACAAGGACTCTAATATTTCATGTGAACGTTCTGGTGCCAGCATTAATGTTGGAGGAACTTGTGCAGCAGCGGCGATGATTGTTCCTACTGCTTCTAGCCATGATGACGTTGAATCTGCTACTGGTTCTAAAAGTCTCAAAGCAAAATTAACTGCGACGGGAAATAAAGTAAAGGCGAGTCATAAAATTAAAGCGCAAACAAGTCGCATTGTATCAAGTTTCAAGCCAAATCAATCGGTTGTCAGCACAACAGTGCGTGAATTTTGTGGCCATAAAGATGGAGTGTGGCATGTAGCAGCTAAAGTTGGACAACCAATAATCGGTACCGCATCAGCTGATCATACAGCTTGTATTTGGAGCATAGAAAGTGGTCGTTGCCTTTTACAATATCAAGGACATGCTGGTTCAGTGAATTCAATTAAATTCCATCAAAATCGAGATTTAGTGCTAACTGGCAGTGGAGATGGTACAGCACATATTTGGCAAGCAGCAGTCAACTGGGAGATTTCAAAGTATGTAAATTAAATGAAACAAATTTAGAAGTATATACGCTATTAAATAAATTAATTCTAATTACATTCGATATTTAAACGATTCATTGTTTTGTTAAGGAAAGGACATTCATCTGAAGAAGAATTGGACGATAGCGAAGAACAAGTAGAAGATCGAGATCGTTTGGATACATTACGCACACCAGTATGTGAGTTTGCAGGACCTGGCGGTCATACATCGGTCGTTGTTGCTGCTGACTGGTTACCTAATTTAGACCAAATCATTACCGGTAGTTGGGACCGCACTGCTATACTTTGGGACGTTGAAACTCGTGAACCATTGCAACCACTTACAGGACATGACCATGAACTAACTCATGTTTCTTCACATCCCACGCAAAGGTTAGTGGTAACTGCGTCACGAGATTCAACATTTCGCTTATGGGATTTCAGAGATTCTATACCAGCTGTCTCTGTTTTCCAGGGACACACAGAGTAATATCAAATTTAAGAAAGAAAAAATGAAAATTATGTAAACTTATTTTTATCTATAAAAAATAGAAGTGTGACTTCGACAGTATTTACAAGAGATGATAAAGTTGTTTCGGGCTCTGATGATCGAACAGTAAAAGTGTGGGAGTTGCGTAATATGAGATCGGCACTTGTTACTATACGTACGGATGATTCAGTCAACCGTTTGGCGATATCAACAGGTGGCATTATAGCTATCCCACATGATAACAGACAAATAAGGTTGTTCGATTTAAATGGTCAACGTATAGCGCGTTTACCTAGAACGAGCAGACAAGTAAGTAATTTTATAAAAATAGTTTAATTATTAATATATATAAAATCTTTAAATTTTTAGGGTCATAGACGCATGGTATCAGCCGTTGCATGGGCTGAAGAACCCCTGCTTAATTGTGACCTATTTTCTTGCGGTTTTGACAGGCGCGTATATGGCTGGTCTATTATAATACCAAAAGACAATTAAAATTTGATATTGAACAAAGTATTAGAAAAATATCGTCCCCTTGAATATCACGTTAAAAATAATTTATAAGGTGTTTTAATAGTATTAAAAGATTTGTTGATGTTAACACATAGAATCATTTAGAAGAATTCTTACATATTATTTATAACATATTTTATTAATTATAAAAGTTAATTTGTTACACTTATTGAAACAGAATTTTGTTGATAAATAAGATAAGTTTTTTGATTACCACAGGGTTTTGTCAAAAAACTTATTGTAATTTAGTCGTAATAACAATTATTTATAAATCAGATTATATTTAATTCCTTGTTAGCGGAATGAACAATTTGTTATTAAAAAACCGTAAAATAAATACTCTTTAATAGGTAAAGAAAAATTATAAAAAAAATTTGATCACACTTAGAGTATATACAACAATATTGATATTTTCACCTTATTATTGGTGCTTAAATCCAAATTGAGAATTTATGAATATAATTTATAATATTTTTAATGCCAAATATTTTTCCTTTTCGTAATTTAGTGTTTCAATGTTTAATTTTGTTCACACACACGTAATTTAGTATAAGGGTAAAATTATATATCGAATAACTTTTAGTAATTTTATTTATTAAAAACTGTCATAAAGTTATAAAATATTCAATATATATATACACATATATATATAAATATACACACTCATATAAAATACTATAAATACATATTTACGTTTAACATAGTTAAATAAAGAATATATGATTCTTTTAAAAATATACACAAATATACATTTTAAATTTATTTACATTAACGAGCTAGACTGCTATGAATTATTTGAAAACATGAAGTTTTATCAATATTAAACCAATTAAAATGGCTATTTCAATAATGATTATTAATATAAGATAAATTTTGTTTATAACAAATTGACGCCGTATACGCCTAATAATGGCACGTGATTTGGACAAGTCATCATTGGCATTTTGTAAACGACGCGTGGAACGTAGTAAAGATTCACGTTGTTCACTTAATTCAGAAAGAACCTGGAATATAAGAATTTAGTTTAGTTGAAAATACCAAAATATATATACACAGTTATGATAGAATTTAGAGCTAATATCACAAAGTTTTTAGTCCCCAAAATAATTGTCTATTTGAGAAATATAAAAGTTACTAAAAACTTTTTTTATTTTTAGTGTACATGAACGAAAACAGAAAAAAAGCCAATTGATAAATAAATCGTAAAAATAAAGTATGTATGGTTGGGACACACTACGCAAACCCTTCAGTGAAATCGCACATGCTTCTCGCTCAAAGGCTGCGTGTAGAAGGACAATCAACAGAGAGTCGGGCAAATCTTTCAGTGAACTAAGAGCTATAGCGCGTGTTAGAAATAATTGGAAATCTTTTGTGATTAGACTAAGTTCTTGAATTTATATTTTTAAACATGTCAATAATAATAATAATAATATAAACACATGAATGAACATAATTTTATAAAAAATTAAAATAATATAATCTCCACGAATTTTACTTATAGGATGATCAATAGAAAAGCTTTTAAAAGAAATCAGAGGCACTAAAAATTTATAATAAGGGGAATAATTATTATTCTTTGATCAATATGTATACAATGTAACATATATAGTTACATATATATATATCTGAAACATCAGATGGCGTTCTGTTATAAGGCATTCATACAAGAGCGATTCAAAAGGTCAATAAAAAACTAGCGTCAAAAGCAGAATTGCGAAAATGATAGAAGAAATAAATAAAATCGAATAGTTACACCTTGTAAGTCACTGGCTGAAGTTGGAAGAAGTTAAACAATTGAAAAGGGATAGAGAGGTGTGGTCGAAGAGAACTCAACAAAATAGTAACGGAAACTTAGAAGATTAATGTATGAAAGAAACAATAAATTTTTGTTATATATATATAATTGAATAACTAATACAGATAATAACAAATTGTAAATACAAACATTGTTGTACTACTTATAAGGATCTTGCCGAGTAGGTAAACCAGCCTTAAAATAGGTTAATTTAAACAGGATTCAAAAATTTCGACAACAAATAATATTATCATATGCAAAAACGAACCTATAAGGTTGACTATTTATTTTGTTGACTAGGTATACCGGCCTTAACACGGAAAAGATATAAACAAAATACAGGAATTTCGAAACAAATAATATCATATGCCATAACGGATATATGAGACAAAGCGAAAGTTTTAAATCAGAACAGTTGACATCGGACACCTCGTGTTCATAGTCGAATGAAACACTCTATTTGGACTTTCACAATACACGTACGTCCAACTTAATTAAAAAAAAAGTAAAGTTTTCGCATAAACATGCGGGTATATGGAGAAACAATCACAACTTCGCACAAAACAGTACATACATACAACCTACACTCTATATAAGTTCTAAGAACGGGTCTATGTCCCGCAGCCACTTTTCAATAACGACGTTCAAATGCCTTTCAACGCCTGCCAAAGAGGCAAATCAAGCAGATCCTAGCGGGTTACAAAAACACTATATATAATATAATATTTTTTTATTATACTATATTTAATATAAAAGCAAGAATAAAGCTAATTTTTTTCTAAATAAAACAATATTCTAAACAGCATTTCTAAATAAATTCAATTCGGAATAAATTAATTGGCTCTTTAAATCTTGACACCAATTCTAGTAAAGTATATGGTTTGTAGAAAATCGTTCATTCATTAATTTAATTATGAAACTCCTCACAAATATATTTCAATTAATGTCATAATATTAATTTAAGTTCATTACAAACCTCAGTGCCCAATTCCTCTGACTCTATAGCAAATTGATTGGAACGCTGAAGGCTGGCGCTTGTTCTTTCCAAAACATCGTATGTGTTTTCAATCAACTGTTCTTGTTGCTGTATTGCCTGATTATCATGTTGTGCCGGAACATTTTGCCAATAAGACATATTAAACTAAATTATGCTTTTTTATCAACTGTATAAAAATAAATGCGCACACAAAAATATTCATTTAATGTCAATCAGCTGTTCGAAGAAAACACAAAGACCGTTATTCACAATAGAAAATCATATGTAAAAATTTTATTAACAAATACAAAAACAAGTACAGAAGTAAATAAAAACAACAGTAAATTCATTCAGCAGAAAAAGCGTATGATGTTTCATTGCTTTTCATCAGTTTTGTTGCATTTTCGGTGCCGAGTATATTATTTAGCTGTAGGGTATCGTATTTTGTGTATAACACAGTTATACTCATGGATCCTTCCAATCCGTCACGAGAGTTTTGATTGCTTCTATGCATCAAATTAATTACTTCGGAGTAGAAATTTGGCCATATTGGCGGTTGATACATGATAAGATGACGTATGCCTTTGATACGAGTGCGTCGAAAGAAATGCGATCTTTCCGAATAGAGTAGGAAGTGTGCACCACTATGGTAGAACATATCACGGGAACGTGCTATTTTTGCGTCCTTGGTGTACTCACAAATTTGTACAAATGATACCGTTTCCGACTTAAAATAATTGCGCAAACGTACATAATCGAAGTAGCTTGGCACATATATCATACAATGTGCATGAGACGGATTCCGATAGCGTGGCAATATTTCATTTATAAAATAATCAAATCGTTTATCAAATGAACTTTCCAAACTGTTGACATCTACACGATGAAATATTTGTGGAATATTAATTATAACATTACTTATACTGCCAGAAATGACTGGATTTGTTACGCGTATTTTGCCCTGGTAGTTTGTACATTTATGATTGAAAATGCTACGAAATTCTGGAAGATCGTGTGAAGTTAGTAGCACTGTTTGTCGGTAAAAATTTGAATATCCATTTAAACACCAAGGCCGTACTCGTTGAAAATCAGTATTATGCAAAGATTTTAAAGGTAAATGCATATGTTCCATTACATGCAGTAAATTTTCCCAATTTTGTGCGAGTATTAATTCCGCTTGATCAATTATCAACATTTCAATTGAGTTAAGAAAATCATAATCCCGTTCAGGAGTGCCTGCAGCACCTACAATCATGCGAAGACCTAGCGGAGATGCAATCAAAATGTCTGATGCATAGAATTCGGTGTAAAGCTTTAAACACTTTTTCGTAATAGTTATCCCAATCCGAAAATTGTCATCTGTATTGCCACTAAAGGTTTTAACATAATCTTCAGGTTTAGGATTCGTTTTGGGAAAGCTTATAGTGTTACCCGTATATTCCTGAACAAACCTTTCGTAGTTTATAACTGACTTGCTTTTATCTCCAGTTTCGCCAAGTAAAAGTGTAGTTAAAGTATTTACAATGCCAAATGCCGTTTCGCGGAAAGGTACAATGAATAGTATTTTTGGACGCACTAATCCTTGATCACGGTAACTATCAGGCACTATATAACCGCTTTTTGCTTTCTTCTTATCCTGAGTAAGAGCAGTAATTTTGGCGTTATGATGTACAATACGTGAACGAGTTTTTAGCATATGATTAAGCGCATGTAAGCAGAACACTTGTCTTAACTCGTCACCATTTTCTAGAGATCGATGTGGAAAAAAAATGTCTTGGTAATTATTTAATATTGTGAACACTTCAGTTTGCAATTGCGAAAGTGGGAGATTGATATGAGAGCTTAGAACTGTTTTTACACACATTTTATCTAAGGTTTCCACATCTTTTATTCGCTTCAGTTTGTTTTGCAAACCAGTGTAAGATTGTTGTATTTTAGTAATTGCTTCATTTGAATTTGATTCTTGCCCTACTTTATTAAAGTATGGAACTTCCAAATTGATATTCTTCATTGCAGGCCACATCAGTTTTTGTTTATATAATGCCGGTGGAGTAGCTAACAAATTTTCCACATGATCAGCAGTCAATTCATACTCAAGACGGTCTGATAGTACATCAAAAATTTGTTTATTTTCATGAATTTCTTTTTCGTTATCATCATCGTCTTCATCTTCACTTTCATCAGTATCGAATTCATCAATATCTTCTGGAACCTTCTCATCTTCGTGTTTATCACTTTCAGCTTCACTTAAATCAGAATCCTCAGATTTACTATCCATTTCAGAGCTCTCATTGTCATCGCTTTCAGTGTCATCGTCACTTAACACATTATTCTTAGTGTCTGTATTTGAAACAGCAGTTACAAGTGCTTCAAAATGATCTTCATCCTCTTCATCAGTGCTGCCTAAATCTTGTAAAGCTAAGTCGTTGTACATTGTTGAGGAAGGCATATTTGCATATTTGTCTTCATATACCTTTTGTTTACGATGAAACTCCTCCATTTCTTTTCCTCGCTGTATAAACTTATAGTTTTTTCGTTTCTTATCAACAATACCATTTTTAATTTTATTTGTTGGTTGTTTTTTATAATTCTTTGATTTTTTCCACTTATTCGGATTTTTTTGTTTTGAACGTGGTGCCATTTCTTTAACCTGCATAAAATGACATGTTCTTCCTTCTTTTTATTATAAAACTATTCACAATAAAACAAACCTAGTATTTGCTTCGCTTCTAAGAAAATATATGGCTATATATGTATGTGCAACACATATTGAATAGAATGTTTTAACAGTATAACAGAAGTCGTAATTTTTTCTTTCAGGGTAGCAAAGAAATACTCACAACTTACGAAAGAAAACATTTGAAGCAACAACAATGCTATTAAAATCTTAAGTCTCAAGTTTCAGTGCAGCTAAATTCAAAAATCAATCTTTTATGAGTGTTCACTGGAAAGATGTTTCAAAATTGCAATCTCCGTTTAAATTATATGAGTATTTCATTATTAATAAATTCAAATACATAAATATACAAATTAATTTAAATATTTAAAATAAAAATGTTTACCACTGCCCTTCTAATAATTATTTTGTTTTCTTTTATTTATATTAATTAATTTTTTTTTCAAATTAATTAACATACACTACGTTTACGCGAGTCTTAAAATCAGTTTTAAAATTGATTTTAAAATTTGTTCTTAGAGCGTTTACGCACAAAAATTAAAAGCACTTTTAAGGTAGCTGTTAATCAATCAGCTGTTTAACAGTAAACAGAAATGTTGATTTTAAACATTTTTAAAATGAATAGAGTAAAACTACAAATTGTTTTACTTTTATTGCGAAAAAGAAATATTATAACCAAAATTGTAGAAAATAATAATGAAGCAACAATGCAGATTTTTAAAACATCTCGTAAAAAATTTACAAAATTACGAGAAATGCGATTGCAGCTCTTTAATAAAATGGCAATAAGTTCCGCTAATGAGGCTTTAAGGAATGTAAGTGTTTTTATAAAGTTTTTCATAAAATATTTAGAATGCATTTTTGTTTTTAGCTTCCACCACGTATAAGAACTTTTAGCAAAAGGAAGAGAAGTTCGGAATGGTGGGATGTTGAAGTTCTGTAGTTCTATGACGACATCTCCGGACATCTTATGCGAGATCATATATGCACGTACTTGGCGAGAAAATTTTCACTTCTACATAGAAGCAATTAAAAAAATAATGTAGAAAAAACCAATTTTAAATTAATTAATTTATACTTTTTTATTTATAACAATTTGAGCTTAATGACAAATTTAAATAATTGAAAATAATAAACTTAACTTAAACTAAACTAAAATGTTTTAAATATAAAGTCATCATTACGGTAAAGTTAAGATTTTCAAATAGAGAATAAAAAATAAACAAGTTTAATTAATTTAGATTCTGGGATGCAATTAGGCTTTTTCTATATTTTTTGCCGTCTAACTATTTAATTATTTGTTTTTCTGCAAATATTTTAATTAAACATTTTTTCTCCTCTCTCATCCAATTTTTTCTTTTCATTTCCCTTTTCTCCATATTTTTAGTTATTTGGTTAGTGTTATTTGTAATAAAATTCAAATTATTTGTACCTATTTACTGTTAACAGCTGATAATTCAAATCTTAAACTGCTTTTAAGGTGTTTACGCAAAGCTTAAAAGTGACATTTCTTACTAAAAGTGATGTTAAACTACATTTAGTAAGCTAAAAGTGCTTTTAAGCAAAATTCAATTTAGGGTGTTTACGCGATCTTAAAATCAATTTTAAGAGCCTTAAAACAACTTTTAAGGCTCGCGTAAACGTAGTGATATTTACACAACACAACAAAAAACATGAGTCAAAAAAAGCATTTAACATATTTTAAATGATGCTAATTTGTTCCAAACAGACTTAATGTTGTTTCTTTACAACTCTGAAGAACTCTGAAATATCAAATTAAAGCAATTTGTTTTATTGTTTGCAAAAATACTCTCAAAATATTTTATATTAATAATTAAAAGATTTTTCAAAAGAAAAGAGATTATTAATATTAATTTTTCCATCGTATTAAATTCTGAATAAACCCACTTTAGTTTTATTTTAAAGTTTTAATTGTAGTGATTTTATTGATCCAGTTTGCTTTGCTGAAAACTTGACACACTCCAAATCTTAATTTATTGCTTTTGTTGCGTATGTTAATGAACATATTATTCATTGTAATTTGTTTGTCAGATTTATCACACGTTCACACTTTTTAAGTATTTTCACAAAATATATACATTGCACATATGATATATATATATATATATATATATATATATATATATATACATATACATATATGAATAGTAACAGTTCTGTTTCATTTTGTATGAAGATTTCATGCATTCCTCAAAAGTATTCACAATAACACAAGTTTGCACCGTACAATACTGTACCTTAAATTAACTTGATTTTGTAATAATTACAAATCAATTCTATTTTCAGCTGTTAAAATACTCATACAAATCTACCTGATTTGAATTTGATTTGCTGTCGAAATCAAGAATAATTTGAAATATCAGCTAAAATTACAAATAAAACTCTCATGTGAAACAAATATTATTGTTATAAATAACATAGATCGCATAGAATGAAATATGTATAAAAAAATTATATATATTGTTAAATAATTGAAAAAACAAAAATTATTTTATATAATTTCATCAAAACGAACGTATTTATAGTATTCATAAAAATAACTTTTTTTTTGTGTATTTATAGATTAAAAAGAAGAACATTTAATTTGTACTGTTTACATGTTAAACATGTTTAATAAACAATAGAATTTTTTTTATCACAGATTAACCAATTTATATTACTTTTTTATATTAAATGACATACTTTCAAAGTAAATGTGTGATATAGAAATTTCGAAATTCTGAAACATAGCAACTCTACAAATATAACGACTCTGTTAAACAAAAAAGCCAATATGGCGGGTGCGTAAAATTTTTGCGATATTATTTGCTAGCCGTGTTCTTAGGTTATAAGTGTTTAACTAATATGAATAAAATTTCAGATCTTTTCACAAAATATAGTTGCACAAATTGCCAAGATGATATTAATGGGATTCGGGTTCACTGCGCTGAATGTGAAAATTTTGATTTGTGTTTACAGGTGAATCATATTTTTTAATTTTTTCTCTTTAGAATAAATTATCTTTTTTGCTTGTTCTCCGAAAAATTGTGATCTTCGAAAATGGTAAAATTTTCGAATAAACAAAAAATCGATGATTCTAAATTCTTATTTTTTTATTTAACAACAAATAAATATAGTCTTTAATTATTATACATACATATGTATATGTATATAATAATAATCAATATAAAAGTCAATAATTGCAAACATTTTTTTTAATAACAAGTTATTTTTAATATTACTTCGAGATATATATATATATGCATTTATAATAATAGTAATAATGGAATATATTTTCGAATAAACAATTAATCAAATATTTTTTTAACAACAAAAAAGTTTACTTTAATTTTTTTCTCTACATATATATATGATATATGTATATATATATATTTATGTTTATGTTTATAGTGATAACAGTAAATATTTTAAATCTAAAAAGTCAATAATGAACTATTGATTATTATTGTTGTTTAAACAACAAAACAAACAAAACTTGTTTTTAATTTTTAACTTATTAATAGAAACTAGTAAATTAAATAACACTATTATATTTTGAACAAAAATTTTTAAAATATATTATAATTTAAGTTTGAAATTTTTTGCCGGGCTTTAACAAACTTTGTTTTTTATACAATACAAGTTATTATATAAAAATATAAATTTTAAAACCACGACCTAAAGCCCGGCAAAAAATTTAAAATATAAACATTGAGGTCGTCACCAATACGAACATTATTATAATTTAAGCAATTATTTATTATCATATTAATATTAGTAATATTAATAAGAAATTTCTAATGTAATAATAAATTATATAAAAATTTATTTTTTATAAAATGCAATAAATAGTGTTTCGCAACGGGTGCTGAAATAGGTACTCACCAAAATAATCATGCATATCAGTTCATGGACACAGGAACAGCTGTGTTGTCTGTATATCGAGGAAAAGGTGCTTGGACAGCTCGAGAAGAAATTCGATTACTAGATGCTGTCGAAAAGTATGGTTACGGCAATTGGGAAGATGTTAGCAAACATATTGAAACGAAATCGCCCGAAGATTCGAAGGAAGAGTATGCAAATAAATTTGTAAAAGGCACTATGGGACGTCATACATGGATACCAGCACAGGCACAACGTCCAAAACTTGTTGATCATACAACTGACGATACGGGTCCATTGGGCGAAACAACTGTACAACGCATTCCTCCACTTGATATATCAAATGAGGAAGCAGCTCAGTTGGGCTATATGCCAAATCGAGATAGTTTTGAACGTGAATATGACCCTGCTGCTGAACAACTTATCTCTTCAATATCCTTAAGTTCTGATGATAGCGAAGCAGATTATCTCTTAAAATTGGCACATGTTGATATGTATACACGTAGACGACGTGAACGTGTAAGACGCAAACGTCTTGTACGAGACTATCAATTGGTGACAAACTTTTTTCGTAATCGTAATTATGCACTCCACCCAAGGCTGACGAGAGAACAAAAAGATTTTCGGGATCGCTTTAGAGTTTTTGCACAATTTTATACGTGCAACGAGTATGATCGCTTGTTAGCCTCACTCGAGAGGGAAAAAGAATTACGTATACGCTTGTCCGAATTATTTCGTTATCGTTACAATGGACTCACAAAGATTGAAGATTGTCGCCATTTTGAGCAACATGTTGCTGTTACCTCACGCCGCCCCGCTGGTCCTTCAGGTCATGCAAAAACTGTGAGTTACATAATTTTAAGTTACCTTTGTAAATAATAAATCCTCAAAATATTTAGGAAAATATTTGAAATGTACCTTGTATCAAGCTACAAATGCAATTATGAATCTGTTTTTTTATGCCAGTGATAAAACATAAAAACTTACATTGCATTCTAGTCATAAAAAAACAATTGCCTTAGCCCAAATAGAGAGCCAATAAATAAATTGTAGTTTTAAAACGTCAAACGTTTATTAATTTAAGAAGTTAAAGTTAAAGTTGTATTTCAAAGAAATAAAAATAAGTCTGTACTAATATTGATATTCGCATTTTTAAATGACATTTACACTGGTTAATTATAACACTAATATATGTTAACTTTTCGATATAAATCAATTTAATTTTTAATAAAGTAGTTTTTTAAAAATGATTTATTAACCATAAGAATTGTTATTGCATTTAAATTTATTTACTTCAAGCAATTATTATTATTCAAAGGAATTATAACTGTGATTATGCATACGAGATATGTAAGATTCGTAATAACATATTGAGAGAATATAAAAATCTTACTTAATTAATAAAAAAATAATATAGTATCTTTTAATATTAGCTTTTGTGAGCTCTATGCAATGATATTTATTCACTTTAAAACAATATTTTATCCTTATAAATATGAAAATATGAATCTATAAGGATTTTATATTTGTTTTGTATGTTACGTATGAGACGTAATATTTTTGCTTGTTACCCTGATATTGCACGAAAGCTTGAATATCGCGTATGAAATAAATTATAATTGTGAAATATTTATCAAAATTTTTTTGTCTTTTCAATTTCGCGATATTCAGCTTCCGTGCATTATTGGAATACCAAACGGAAATCGATTGAATGGTTGCTATAGACAATGTTTAACTGTAGGACAACATCACACTCAACACTGGAAATCCTCAGCAGCAAGGCTCTTCCGTACTATCTCTTCCGTGCAACAACAACAGCAACAACAAAAAGGCGTAAGTATTCCAAACATATACAGATAACTTTACTTTTTAAATCCATATACTTATAATAATATATTTCTTTATATTTTTATAGCGACCAGGTAAAAGGAAACGTAAACTCAAATTTCATCGTACCAAAAAGCATGCCCCGCACAGGCGTCCAGATCTCCTCCGCCGCATTATTGCACAGCAAAAACTTTTTGGGTAGCTATCGGGGATCGTCGACTCCTATGAAGACGTCGGCGATACAATCGAAGGCAATGATAAAAGCAGCGAACCTAAACAAACGCAAACAACAACTAATACAGCAACTACGAACAGTCACGGCACACACAACACCCCTAAAGCAGTTACTAGTCACAAAAAAGGTTCATCAACAAAATCACGTTGCAATCGTAAGCCAAGCAATAGCAAACAAGCAACAGTTACAACTAAAACTTCAACAGCACATAAAACAAATAACACAACTGCAACAAATGCATCAAAGTCAACACATAAAACAAATGCAGCAAATTCAACAAATGCAACAAATACAGCAATTAAAAAAGATAATAAATAATAATACTCAATTGAAGCCAAATTTAAATGTTGTTAAACAAGCTCCTGCTATGATTACAAACGCGCCAGTATCAGTTAGTAACATTCTACGCTCACAATTAGATGAACTAAAGACACTTAAAGAACCGCTCGGTGCAGATTTGCTAACAACCAATGAAAAGCAATTATGTAAACTATTTAATCTACCTCCGACCAGATATCTATCTCTTAAGACATTATTTTTAAGTGGTGCACCAGTTTCTTCTAATCTATCGCTTGTTGAAAATTCTCTGCGCAGATATTTTATAAAAGTTGGTTGGTTAAGTCAGTAACTGAACAGAAGGTATTAAACTTAAGTTAAGATAGGAACTCAGAATACACTAAATTAAATTGGTTTATTATCGAAAAGGTTGTTAAAATCTATTAAATTTAAGAAAAAATAAAAAACAAGTTAAGTCTTTGTAACAGTTGCTAGTTACAATTATTAATTAAACGACAAACGAAAATCAATTTCATATATTTAATTGTAACAATAATAATTATATATTTATTTTAGATTTAATCAATAATAACAAAATAATAATGAAAATATGCCTGAAATAAAAAAAAGATTATAATTATAAATTCACATTTGGACTTTCCCATAAAAAAACTATTTTATTTTAAATTATGCTTTTTAAAATTTATGCATATATATATATATATATATTCATTTATTAAAAATTAAGATTAGTAAAATTTCGGCGAATAATTTAAAAGACACTTGTATCAAGTTTATGTTGGAATAATATGAAGACATTGTATTTAGTCATATAAATAATAAATTGAATTGAATTGCTTTGCTTGATTTTAGAAATATAAAAATACAAAATATATAATATTAATAAAGTTTAAATAAATATGTATATCAATATATATATAAACAAATAAAATATTAATATTTAATAAATTGTTAATATCTAAAATATATACATTATTTGTTCTCTTCTTCAGAATACTTAAAAACTTTATATTCTCACTATTTTCAAGCTTTAAAAATATATTTTGAATGCTAAAGCCCGGTCTTTGAGAAATTTAAATTTGTTCGTCGAAATATTTCCTTGAAAACTTATGCATTCATTCCAATGCTTCTCTAACTTTTGGTTACATTTTTTGTAGAACGTTATGTCTTTACACTCAATTTTAGTAAACACTTTTTCACTTGAGTCGAATGTCTTTTTGATTTCTGTAAAACGTCAGTAGTCGATGTGAAACAGATCTGGAGAGTATGTTGGGTGAGGAAGCAATTCGCAGCATAAATCATACAATTTAAAGATCGTCTTCACCGGCTTGTGAGATAGGATATTGTTTTCGTGAAACAGCACTTTTTTCTATTACCTATGAATAATATATTTCATATATATATTAATGAATTATATATCATTAAGAAATATATATAGCACTTTTTTTCTTGATTTCTACATTCAATAATATCATGTAATATAGGCTATTGATAGTATGTTTTTTAATATGTAGATGAATTAGACACCATATTCGTTACAAAATACCGATGCCATAACCTTGCCAGCTAGCTTTTGATCGCTTCGGGATACTTTTATTGTTTGTTGTCTATCAAGGCGTGTAGTAGTGGTATCATACCATTGTTAATAATCCTTTATTGTTTACGGTCCAGTATAAGCAAACACGACACTCAACACGAAAGCAAATTTCTCATGAATAAATGTTTCTATAAAATTAACTCCAGAAATACCTGCGATATTTTTCAGTAGTTTTTAATTATCTTTCGTAACTTCACTTTAAGGTTTTCAAAAACGAATTTTTAAACTTTTTTGACCTATTTTCTGGTACAACTGGCTTATTTGGACGTCTAGAATGTTCTGCCACATCAGTGTTTGTACCGTCATGTTTAAAGTCTGAAAACTTCAACGGTTGCTTTCGATTGAGCAGACGTCGGATAACACTTCAAGCTCTTGAAATGTCAGAGCTTTTTCATTGAAAAATAATAATAAATTATCACTTGAAATTGTTTAAAGAATTAGCGTCGCTAAAACCACTGTAATTATTAACCCACATCGCACAGTTTTAACTTGCTATTCCAAAAGGCTCAGATGTCTAGAAGAAATACGTGTTGCAGATTTGAGTTTAACAAACCGTAAATTAACGTAAGATCATTGAAAAATCAAATAAGGAGAGTTTAGTGTCGCACAGTGTTATATATTCATTTATGTATAAACTTTTATACATCAATTTAGAATAGTTTAGTAAATTTATAGTATATAACCGTCGTTTATGCGTTAGTACTAAAAATAAAACTGTGAGCGCGACTGTTATTTGCAAATATATAAGAATTAAGAAAATTTTAAATTTAAATAAAGCAAATCAAGTGTATGCTGGCTTTATCTGTTAACACACGAATCCGCCGTGCAAATTTGACAGGGTTTGATTTCCGATAGTTTCAGGCTAAAAATTATAGCAATAGCTGTTTCCAAAAGACCACTAATGATGATTACTTAGAAGTACCGAAACACCTGTATAGTTAGCTCTAGATTTCACTTGATTAACAATTAATTTTTTGGATTCGAATTATCCTCTTTTTTGGATTATCCTCTTTTCTATTCTAAATGCAAAAAATTATTTGTATTTAGATACTTCATATAATCAAAAGTGCAATACAAAAAAGTCTTATATTTTTAAATTTCGAAATTTTTCCCGATTTTTATTTAAAAAAATGAAAAACAAATATTCAGGGAACAAGTGATCTTTGCAGATGCTAATCAAAATTTATTTCGCATGTTTACATATTCATTAAACTAAATAATGTTTAATATGTATATTTGAGGGAAATTATTTGAAAGCTACAATTATTTATATAAAAGGCTGAGTAAATGCTAAGTGGTGTTGTAGGTCGAAACACTGTTCTTTTTAATCTAAAGCAGTCCGACTTACTTCAAACAATGATTCTAAAAGTGGTTGACTCTACGATAAACATTATTCCCACAAGGGAGCCATTATAGTGTCTAATGATTTTCATAATATAAATTGAGCTTAACATAACTTGTTAGAATACACTACACCATAAAAGGATGACATATCTATGGAGTCTTAATTTCAAACCAAACCAAATTTCATATCACAAATATTTAATTTTTATATTACATAAATAATTTATTTAAAAAATACATCAAGGCAGAATTTGTGTATATGTAGAATTTTAATAAAATATAA